CCCTTGTATCTGAACATCTCGGATACATTCAAATCTTTATCAGCTATGTACTCCTGTGATGATCTTTTTATAACACATATTTCTATATTTCTTACGCAGTGCACACACACACTCACATGCATACAGTATGCTGGGGATTAGCTTTTTCAGGTATCTTGAATTCAAGGTACGTTATATACTTTTCTAGCTTCTTTTATTACTTTTTGTTGAGAATATACACAGCACAAACATACACCAATTCAAGTTTCTACATTTATAATTCAGTGACATTCATTACATTATTCTAGTTATACAACCATTCTCAACCTCCTTTTCTGAGTTGTTTCTCCCCCATTAACATAAACTCACTGCCCCCTAAGGTTCTTATCTAATCTTCAGTTGGTATTGTCAGTTTGATCCTATGTAGATGGATCTTAAAAGAGCACAATGCTTAAGGCAGGCATTCTTTACTAGTTAAGCTAAACTATTGTTTGTTTTTAAGAAGACTTCAGGGGATATTTTTGATTTAAAGATTATCTCAGTTTTAAGCATTCATCCAGTCTCCATGGTTCCAGAAAGACTGGATTCCATGAGAATTTGAAATTCTGTGGTGCATTTTCCCCGTTTTGATCAAGATTCTTCTATAGAATCTTTGATCACAGTGTTCAGTAATGGTTGCTGGCACCATCCAGTTCTTCTGGTCTCATGGCAGAGGAGACAGTTGTTCATGGAGGCAGTTAGCCACATATCCATTTCCTCCTCCTATTCCTGACTCTCCTCCTTCCTCTGTTGTTCCAGGCGAATTGAGAACAATTGTTGTGCCTTGGGTGGTTGCTTGCAAGCTTTTAAGACCCTAAGCACTATGCAGTGAATTAGGAGGTAGAGCAGAAGCACTAAACACATTATTAGCCCAATTAACTAAGATGCCTCATGAAACCATAACCCTCCAAACCAAGGAACCAAATCCACTGAGGTATTCGGGTGTACATAAGCAGCCTCAGCAGCTACTCTTTTTTTTTTTTTTTTTTTTGGTCGTAAATATATCTATCACACAACTTTTTACAGTTATACAGCTTACTGATAGCACTTACAATAATCAGCTATGCAGTCCTACCCTTAATATGATTTTTCCACCACCGTAAACCGAAATTCACTGCTCTGTAAGCAATAATCTCCTCTTACCTCTTTCCTCCCACGCCTGGTAACTACTAAGAAACTTTAAACTCTGTACGTTTGCCTGTTCTTGTCTTTCTATATAAGTGAGATCATGCAATATTTGTCCTGTTGTAATTGACTTATTTTAGTCAACGTAATGTCTTCAAGCTCTATCCTTATTGTAGCATGTATCAAGACTTCATTTCTCTTACTGATTGAGTAGTATTCCATTGTATGTATTTGCCAAATTTTGTTTATCCGTTCATCCCTTGGTGGGCACCTTCTAGCTTCTTAATGAGACACATACTCTATTTGTAATACTTAGACTCTCTTTTCAATTTTTTCTTGGAATGTGAATTGTACTCTTTTCTGGAAGAACATAAATGTACATTGCATGTACAAAGGTGAGAAATACTTATTTCAAATTTCTGAACACGTTTGGCAAAAAAAGTTATTGTAGATTTAGTTTAATTTGCCTCAATAACAGAGAACAATATCTTGTACCTTATTTCTGTATACTTTTGTGAAAAACTTTATTGCTGCAACTCTTCCAGTGAAAACAATTAGTTGCCAAGTTTAAATTTTAGACCAGCTTTTCTTTGCTACTTACCTCTTCTACCTTTCTTTGCTACTTATCTCTTTTTGTTCTTAGAAAATTCAAACGAATTTTTTATCCTGTATAAAACTTAATGATAAAGTCACCCAAACAAAACCTACTGCCATTGAGTCGATTCCGACTCATAACGACCCCATAGGGTTTCCAAGGCTGTAAATCTCTGCAGAAGCAGACTGCCACATCTTTCTCCCACGGCACTGCTGGTGGTTTCGAACTGCTGAGTTTCAGTTAGCAGTCGATCGCTTTAACCACTGCGCCACCAGGGCTCCTTTGATAAAGGGACATCTACTCCAAAAATCCAAACATAAATTGTTTTTGTGTGATACGTAGTTTTAAATTAACCATGCCACAACTTTTTGAAGGCATAATTGAGAAATGACTTTTTAATAAAGACAAGGGGAGGGGAAAGTCATGTCATAACATATAAATGGAGATGTTGATGTTAAGTTCATTTGTATTTTTTTTAGATGTCCCTGGTAGATTTGGGAAAGAAGCTTTTAGAAGCCGCACGAGCAGGTCAAGATGATGAAGTTCGTATTTTGATGGCAAATGGAGCTCCTTTTACTACAGACTGGGTAAAGAATGATTTAAATGTTGTAGTGTTTTTTTTTTCTT